GGAGGTGGGTAGTGAATGGGTCCGAAGGGTAAAGTTGGACCATTGGTGACCATGTGCAAACCTTTTCACACTGCGTAGCACCATATTCCCCCTCCCCCCCCCCCGATCAATGAAGCCTTCTGCCCCTGTGGCACTGACGAGTTGAGCTTGGGCTTTCCTTTGGGGACAGAACGCTGAACTGAACGTCGGCTGACTACTGTGGATATTTGCAGACGTCCCGCCACGCATTCAGATGTCTCGGAGATCTGTAACATGTCAAATGCGTGGCGTATTCCATATGCTGAACCACATATTTTGATAGTTATCTTTGAATATTATTATTTACAATTTTTGTTTTTTTATCAACACCACCCAGGGTTACTTGTGTAATAAACAATTACGGCGCAGTTTGTCGACGGGGGGGGGGGGCATTCTGCTTTCCATAGATGTGCCGACCCATCTAGGTAGCCTTTTTTCGAGTTGACACGTTTTAGGATGGTGGCTAGACGATCTTGCTCCAGCTTCACAAGGTTCACAAGTTTTACCAGGGTGAGATTTGTAAACCGGAACTAGGGAAGCAATGGTAGTACAAAATGCCCCCCCCCCCGTCGACAAACAGCGCCAACAACTACAATTACGCTTTATACTCATAACAGTAATATAACAGTAGTAGTTCATATGGGGTATCGGACACGGCATTGATGCAGGAATCCCCATCGGGCTTATCAGTGGGTTGGCTCCTGAAAAGACGTCATTTTAGCATTTTTCACATGGTAGGCAGTCGCATCGACTTATGGATCAATCGGTGGTGGTTCTATTTCATCAGGAGCGATAATGTTGGGTGATGAGATAACACTAGCTAGTTGACTTGATAGACACAGAGAGAGGTGGACCATTGAGAGACGCAGGCGCACAGAGAGTCGACGCGCCAGAACACTGCTACTTTGAGCGGATTGGGTCATGAAGCGAATACTGCGCGCGTCACCCCCTTTACAGCGCCTGCTCCAGCGCACTCGCCGCCATTCGAAAGTAATGCTGTACACCCGAACATGTTTCAGACCAAGCACGCGTTGCCCACACAAGCCAGTCTAAGGCTGTCGGAACGAGAACTTCACTTTTGAATAATCAAGTGTTTTTTCCTCATTGCTTATGTTGTGTTACTATTCTGCGCTTTTCTGGTAATGAGCGGGGAGGAAAATACTAAACATGCAAGGAAGTGGCATCCTGCTGAAAACGAACCAGAAATTCAGCGTCCTCCAAAAAGTATTAAATGACCCAACAAGCTCCAAAAAATCGTTTCGATTTTTTACATAATTTTCTTAGATTGATGCCTTAAGCATTGACCCATTCATTTCAGTGAAACCCACGGAAATCTCTCAGCCGAGATTTGCCGGTACCTGCTCGTGAGCACTGTATTTTCCATGGTTATCGATCGACGCGAAGGACGCAGAGGATGACTCTATCTCTGGTACGTTGACAGTTTTTCATGTCTGTTTCGCAGCACATTCAGCCCACCTATTCCGGTACGTCGAATTTCCGTGGCTTCCAGTAATTCGTGAAACTTTCCAAGACCTCAGTCAAGAGTGTTGGTGGGGCAATCGAGGGGTCTCATTTGCACCAACATTAGGCAGACCTATCCTGCTCGCCTTTGCCTATGCGAAATAGTGTGACTTTGGCTGACACCTTGACGTTGTGCACTCTTGGCCTGCCACAGATGAGGGTGCACGACGGACAGAGGGAAAATGGGCGTGACTCGTCCGTGCTCGGCTGGGTTTCTGAGCTACGCTTATTAGGTGGAGCTATCCAGATTGGATGGGGGCACGGGGTGGCAGGCTTGGCCACATTACTGTGAGCAGTCCTCATCATTGCGGACCGGTGGGTGTGGCAGTGCGGCTGCGTTTGGTGCGGTTCGGCAAAATCGTTCTGCACCAGTTTTTGAAGCGGGCAAGTGCATTACTGTATTATTTTCGTATTTATCGTTTTTCTACCACTTTTTGTCGCATACGCGTTGCAACAAAAAAGGCTGAGAACGGCTCCAACAATGTGCGCGCTCCTTCTGGCTGACACGCCCCACCGGTCTGCAATGAGAGGGACTGTAAGCTCAGCAGAGAGAGAAGCGTCGCTACTCGATGAGAGGAGACGCAGAGCAACGACATGCCGCCTTGGTGGCCGTATCGCGGAGCGTAGCCTCCCCCCCCCCCTCTTCAATCGCGCTAACTGCGCGCGTAGCATCGTAAAAGAGCGTGAGATTATTGCGAGTTCTGTGACGTCTTTTATGAATTCACACGTCTTTTATAAATTTGATTGCAATCAACCCCATGGAACACAGTATATGTAACTAGCAGTAAAGACAAGTCATAAAGACCAACAAATAATTTAAAAGGCAGTAAAAAACGACCTACCCATGGGGCTGCTCTGTGTCAAACCATGACTTCCTCTCCAAATGTTGAACGACGTTTGGAGACCATAGCCGCCTTTTTCGTCAAATATGTCGACGCCAAACAATTTGCAATCATCTCGTTTCATCTGAAAAAACATAAGTCTCTCCCTGTTAAGTGACTACATCGAAGGTGGTACTAGTTTTTTCCGTAGGGCGGCTCGGTACTTTAGGGAGACGGTGGAATAGGGTTCTATATCAGCCGCAAGGTTAGCTTTCAATTTCGAGGGGAGGAGCAGGGGAGGAAGCTCTGTGGTATTTGGCCGGCTACAGACATTTCATTTTTCAATAAAAATGAGTTTCGCGGATCTCCCTTCATATCCTCTGGGGAAGGGCGGAATATCCCTCCCCTCGGAATGACGTGTTGCTGCAGGCGTGTTTCAATAAAGTGTGCAGCCACGCCCTCTTCACCTCTGTGGTATGGTCCATAGCGAAATAATTTTCGACTGATTGTCTATCTGCTCAAATTTAAGTTTAGAAGATAAAAGGAATCAGAAAAGATGAAGGACAAAAGATAAATAAAAAATGAAATTAATAAAATTTTCATGCTCAGGTTTATTAGACTGATAAGGTTCACTAAAATTGCGTCTATGTAGTATAGATCGACCCTCGAGCGAATCTGCCAAGGTGATTGTGAAACAACTGGTAGCACGTTTTTTATCGTATTGAAATAATGGAAAGGGGGCGTTCAGAGTGGGGCAGTTCATGCAGATCGTGGTGGGCGGGACCGTCTACAATTGATAAAGGTAGAGTGAAGGAGATATGTACAGTAATGGCGGGGTATACTGTCTTTGAAAGCCAAGCAATATGCAGTTCTGGGCAAGTTTTTTTATGAAGTTTCTTGAAACTTCTGTCAGCAGTAGTTTTTGTATTAGGTTGGCTAATAAGTAATGGCGGTTTTTTCAATTGAAAAATTTGTTCGAAAAGTGAGACGTTTTGCAAGCAAGTTATATATCATCTGATAGGAAACTTCTCGTAGTATAAGAATATCAAAAAGCTTTGGTTGAGGATATAGTTTTTGTGAATTTTTTAGTCGTTGAAGTTGGAAGTGAAGTCGGCGAAAATTAGCATCTTCGACAACTGCCTCTATTTAGAAATTTCATGCTAATAGTTGAATTAATTGAATTTGAATTTGATATTCTAATACTACGAGAAGTTTGCTATTAAATGATATTAAGCTTGCTTGCAAAACTTTTCACTTTTGAACAAATTTTTCAATTGAAAAAAACGGCCATTACTTATTAGCCAACCTAATATATTTCATGTCTTTGAGTTGGTAAGGACAGTTGACATGGGCAAGGGACAACTAGTGGTTAATTCCTTAGCCAGAGAAAAGGGCGCACCTGTAGAGAATGAACAGTGTGGCCAGATTTCTCGACTACGCCATGCGATTAACGTGGACTGAACTTCTATAGATTTCAGTGGAAACCTACTTGGTCCAGAAATCGTATATAGTCGGAGGCGATCCGTAAAGTGTGTATTTTGCTCATTTTATCAGATGGCATTGACGGAATGATTTTTCGAAGAATTGAGAACGCGTCGTTGAGTTCCTGAAAATAATGAGTTTTGGCGCAGAACGTGATCCAGTGGGTTGTTCTTAGAGTGCGCCATGTATTTGACTGTTTGTACGGTACATCTATATCAGTTTTATGCTCAACCGATACAAAAGTGCGCACAGTAATGCCCTGGCCAATTTTATCCACGGAGAATCTTTTTGTGGTTTCATAAAACATCTTCGGCATGTTCAATTACTTTGGATGTTACGAGGTCTTGGCACAGGGCCAAGTACCGAACCAGCAGTCGATAGTTGTTCAATACTTCCGCGGCTTCTCTACAGCGTAAAGCTTTCGATGCTTCAAATGACCAGTCATTTTAAAACATCAGTGGGACTTGAGAAGTTCTCACAAGCTCCGACACTAATGGGCTTTTTCTCAGACCGCATTTACAACCAGTCAGCGACCGCGGTCATAAACATACAACCGTCTGCCGCGCCGCGCTCGCTCACGTAAGCCACCAACCATCTACCGTATCCGAGCGCGGGAATTTAGCCTGGAAAGCTTTGAGCAGATCTGGTGGTCTTCAGAACCGTACAGGTGGTAATGACCCTGGACTGGGGGCATTTAAAGAACTCCTTGCGCAAAACTGAGATTTTCCTAATAAAGATGGGATTACTGTATCAGACTGGTTCATCTTAGGAGCTCCTTCTCCCTCCGGCTTCAACAGAAGTTTTCGTCTCTGCCTCAGCATTGCCAGTTTCACATAGGGAGCTAAAAGCTCCCCCCCCCCCCCCCCGTCCCCGTTCTCGAAGGCTATTAGCGCCATATATCAGCCACCGCTTCTGTAAATATATTTGGCCATTTCTTTGTTATTTTATACCGACTTCTTTATTTCCATGGATATTTTTCTTGTAATAAGTTAGACGAGGGGTTTGAATTCCGGTGGAAACTCTAAGGATTTCTGTGTAATGAGACAGCAAACTGCATCCATTTACCAGTACAATTTTGTCAGTCATCGTCTCTTCTGTTACAATTAGAGAGCGCACTGCCTCCAGGTGCCTGCATGGCAAGTATGACCCTACCTTTGTCCGTTGTCGTTCTCGTTTGTTCGCACAAACTCGCTGCAACAAGTTATCCTCCTCGTTTTTTACCGGTTTACGTGGATTTTTCCGTTTTGGAGCCATTCTGGTAGGTGGTTCTGAAAGAGTTGAAAGGAGATGAGTTACATAGTAATCGAAGGTGAGGAGAAGATGAAAGATTGGAGTGGAAAAGAGCATTTCTGAGATATATCTACAAGTGACTGATTTCTCAATATGGCCGTAAAAATTTTGAATCTAAAAAGATTGTTAGATTGAATACAGCGGAGGCCAGTGAACTTGCCAAAAATAGAAATATACAAAGAATGTTTGAGTATCAGAATATATGACATCAAAAAATGTGACAAATATTTTATGACAATTATCAATATACGAAAATGAGAATATCGATACCGTTACCGTTACCGGCAGATCCGTTAAAAAACTCCTTGCGCTTTAGTCACCTCAGACTTACCCCCCCCCCTTTAGGCGTGGGCCAGAATATACATTCTCTCTATTATAGTTAACTCAGTGCGAAACGTTGAGTCCTTTTAATGACTCTGAATTGTTATTTTGATGTCTAAGCAGTTCGAAATAGCCCTGAAAATTACAAGTTTTGGCTCGCTGCGAAAGCTGACAAACGAGCTGAGCTGGCCATCCATTTTTAGTGTCGCCACGCATTTGCTTCATTGGCCGGAGTTGTAGTAAGATTTTTGAGTGCGTGTCTGACCTAGAGATGGTTCTGCGGGAGCAGCTGGACTTCCCAATTGCTGCACAACTTATGATTTGCCAGCCTTTTACAGTTCCTTACTTGAAATTAGGCGCTATAGACCATTAAGGACCCATATTCTTGATTTTCAGTGGCTAGCTAGTATGCATTTTTCAAATTTTTACTGGTGGAGGGTGCTGGTGCGTTTTACAGAGCTTCTGTCAACCGGATGTTTCTCTCGCAGCGAGGGTACAGAGATGTTTTCTCGACGCATCTTTTGCGTGGGCATTCGAAGGCAGGAAAATAAGGAAGTCGGACGAGGAGGAAGGATAGAAGGAAAGGAACGAGAGAAGGAGGAAAAAAAGGGAGGGTGGGAGGACTTGCGTGTTTGACAAAAACCCTGAGACCGTAGGGGCTGGAAGTAACTCGACTTACTGAGCACTAATATCACATTTGTTTGTCGCAAAAACGGGATCTAGCAAACTGCCCCCACCAAGTCGAACAGCGCCTCCTAGCTGGAAACACGGAAATTCATAGAAAAAAATTCGCGTAAAAACAGAAACAATCATTAAGGATACTGTAGATGGGAGATAACTAGGAACAAAATAAAAAAAAGCTACGAAATGAAAAGCAATGAAAAGATAACTGGAACAAAATAAAGAGCGCTACGAAATGAAAAGCAGTGACTCATACAAAACCAGCTGCCTTGAGGATTACGGTAGCTGGGAGAAGAATGACGATCGGGTCGTCAGCGAAGTTTGCCAGTCAGCCAGCCATCGGACGGCGGCTCCTCGACGGCTGAGCCACTCCGCCCATCGCCTCGTGAGAGCTATTAGTGGGCTTTGTTTATAGATTGATGACATTGATACATAGCACACAATGTCACGTAACTCGGGCTTTTGAAAAATGACCCGATCTCAACCCTGAACGGGCTTAGTGCGAAGCACGGGTTATTTTTCCTGATCAAGGACCCTTTGATGAAGGGGACGGGGGGCTATTCAACAAGCTCTTTCTGAAGCTTAGTCTCCAGGATTCATACAGTTCCCTTTCGGCACTCTTTCTTTAGGGTCATTTTGGCAGAAGAGATTTCGGGGTTATAACCATTGAATAGTGTCTGATGAAACGACGTATGATCCTCTTCCAGATGCAAAAAAAGAAAGATTTTGAGAAGGTTCTTCAGATTCTGGGAAACCTCACTGCTCAGAAGCTTATTGACAACCATAGTGCAATTATAATCTCAAAATTATTTGAAAATGTCTTCAAAACGGACTTATGTGTACTGATAGTTTCCACCTGATGTAAATGGCATAATAAGGATAAAGGATCTGTTTGCCGTTGATCAATCATTTCCGAGGATGCGACACGCATTCTACCTCCATTCAAAACTGTATGGTTTTTTGAATGCGATGTGACCCACACAATGACTTGCAGCTCCAGCCGATGTAAAAATGTGCTTCATCTTCCTAGACGAATCTAGCACCACTTTACATACCTAGGGGGAGAAGGCTAGGTTCGTCTGGGCGGGAGCCGGTCCAGGATTCGATATCGGGACCGCACACATGGTAAACCTATCGCTTGCCACTACACCACCTTTGCCTCTGTAGTACAATATATGGAGAAATTGGCCTATGTGGTCCATGCCAGGAAATTTGATCACGCACGGATTTCCTTCCTAAATCACGAGAACATCCGAGCGCTTGTGAGACCTATTTGGCCATGCTGGTGTATCTGTGGCTAATTTATGTTGAACCCTGAGCTTCCATCATTTTTCTTTTATTGATTTTGAAACAGTTCCATGAGGTGGCAGACGATCACGTTATAAGACGAGTTTCGATCTGCGGCATGCTTCTTGTTTTTATTTGAAATGGTCGTAATGATTATGGAGCTAAGCCTTTCTGATGGATGAAAGTAGAAGAGTGTAGCGTAGTGTGAGTGGTGGCATCTCTTTGCTATGCGACATGTTTCCTAGTTTACACCTAGCTTTAATCGTGTTCCATCAGGCCCAAGTCGTGCGCTTTTCATAGTCTTACCTGTAATTTTTGAACTGCAATAAAAACTTCAAACCTCGAACGAGTACGCCCAAAAAAGAAAGACTTGGTTGCATAAATACTTTGTCGGGACAGAATTCTGAAGATTACTGCGATGGGGCACGACGCTGCCTTCTTGAGATTGGATCCGTTTTCGAAGTTTCTAATGCTTAAGGGAGAACATGGGTTTCTTGAGAGTTGCAAAAAAGGAGGGGAAGAAGGAAGCGAACGCTCGGTCAGGTGTGGTTCCTTCTTCCGATGGGCCAGCTGGTACTAGGACATGATAGTTAACCATGTGATCGTGTATGTTGAAGAACATCTCAGCGTCGTGGGGGTTGGTGGATTGCCAATGTAGAAGTCGACGTTTTTTTATCTTCTTTTTAGGCGAGTCTAGAGTCTAATGCTAAGGTTTTCCCGCAAGAATAGAAAGCTCAGATAGCTAGGGTGGAGGGATCCGGGATTTGAACCCCAGACCACGCTTGTGGTAAGTGCCGCCACTTGTGCCACGCTATCTCCGCTTGAACAAAATTTTAATATTATTTTGTTATAACGATTATATTCCTAGACTATAATACGATGGGCCAGCTGGATAATAGGTATTGGCTACAGCTAACTACAGCTGAATGGCTTTTAATAGGATAATAGGTAGCTTAAAACCCATAAAAATCCCTTTTCAAATCCTGCTCCAAGTTTTTTCCGCAGCTGTAGTTCTGGTTTGGTACATCCTACTCGGTCAATAGTTCAAGGTGAGGCTGCTGCAAGCGTAGCTACTCCACAGCAGCGAAGGCTGCACAGGGTCCAGTCCGCTG